CCCAATATGTTAACCCAACAACATGCTTTCATGAAATGTGCCTATATTAGAAAAAAACGAATGAGAAGAGGGGCATTACTTTCCATGTTTGCAAATTCTTTAAAGTCGGGCTTTTTTTTTTTTTTTATGTTTGTTTATTTTTGAGACAGAGAGAGACAGAGCATGAGCGGGGGAGGGTCAGAGAGAGAGGGAGACAGAATCGGAAGCAGGCCCCAGGCCCCAAGCAGTCAGCACAGAGTCTGACGCGGGGCTCGAACTCACGGACCGTGAGATCATTAAAGTCGGGCCTTTGACGGAGCCGGACTCCCGTGTGTTCACCTGCTGTGTACAAGGAGGGCACGCGGCCAGAGACGGCTGTGACGTGTCGCTCTGGCCGCAGGGCAGGAAGAGGATCTGCCTCCCCCAGCTGTGGAGCCGGGAAGGCAGGCAGGGTCTCACGCTTCCCCAGAGAGGACCTCGGAGACCCTCAGGGGTGCTCGGACCACACCCTGAGAGCCGTGACCTGCGTGTGGCCTCCCAGCTCGGTGACGTGGAGGTCAGGAGGGAAATTCAGACCGCCGGCTCCCGAGCTCCCACGCCGCCCGTCACCCCCCAGGCATGCAGCCAAAACTCACCTCTCCATTGAGGTAGATGAGGTCGAAGGCATATAGACAAACCTGGACCTGGATGTCTGCTGCGTCCACCTCCTGGGTTGGGGCGGGATGGAGAGCAAGGGCGGACGGGGGCCGGTGAGACGGGGCCCGGTTGGTTTGCCTCCCGTCATGCCTGAGGCCGACACCTGTCACCGTCTCCCCTTCTCTCCAGCCAATGGGCCACACCCCCCCTGAGGGTGACCATGCTGCTGGCCCCAGGCTCTGCAGCGTGATGGCTCTCAGCTCACCCCAACAGCCTCATTCCCCTCTGCCAGGTATCTGCCCTCCCAGCCTCCCCTGCAGCTGACAGTGGTGACAGGACACAATTCTGGCCAATGAGAGGAAAGAAGTTTGCTGGGGTACAGGTGGTGGGCGGGCTCCTGGAACAGATCTTCCAGAATGAGACAGAGACACAGGAAAGGGGCTCTTCCCCCTTTGTACTTTAGCATGCTGGGATGAGAACGCAATGGCTGGAGCTGGGGCAGCCACCCTGCCAAAGGCCGCAAGAACTGCATCACGACTGACACTCCGTCCTCCTGGGGACGGGGCGGGGCTGGGAGGAAGAGAAAGCGGGGGACCACGGCAGGCAGCTCAGGGCGACCGGGGCTACCTTGCGTTTGCGGGTGGTGAGCACTTGGAACGGCTGGATCTGCTTCTTTTCCCGGTCCCAAGCCACGGCTTCCGTGTCCAGGATGAAGGATGTGACTGATGGCAGTTTAATCTGAAAGGTGGAGGGGGAGACCCCGGGCTGCTGAGAGGTACGGGGCGAGGCCAAAAGGCAGACGCAGGGACACAAATGGCCTTTCCCTGTTTTAGCTCCCAAGATGCACCGACATACTGATGCCAACTCACGGACACGCGTACGAGCACAGACCCTCTCTTCTCGAAGAAGGAAAAAGCGAACTTTTCTAAGACTTCCTACTTGGTGCCATAAGCTGGGAACCCAGCGGCCCTCGTCAGGTCCCCGTGAACCTGTCCATTTCCCTTCTGAAATCTCTAAGCCGCCCATGGGCCACCCCCTCGCTGAGCCCAGTCCGGCCTAGGCCACGTCATCCTACCGGTCTCCTTGCTCCCGCACGGACCCGCGCCTAACCCACCGTCCTCATGGCACTCGGTGGACTGTTAGCAGATGCCAAAACAGGTCGCAGTGTATCCCTGCTAAAAACCACAGCTGTCCCCGTCAGTCCCCGGCCGCCCCTCACCTCACCCGGCCCCCCTCAGGCCCCGCACCCCAGCACACTAGCTTCTGTTTTGTGGATGGGCTACGTTCCTTTAGCCACCAGGCCTTTGCACATGCCGATCACCGTAGCGTGCTTGTCCCTGTCCTTCACCTCCACTGGGAGGACTTCTTTTCTCTCAGAGGAACGCCCCCGTACCACTCCAGGTGGCCCCATTCATCCTGCAGCCTGGGGCCGCGTGCGCGGTGGTGGCCTGCCTCACTGACACCGGGCCTAGGTCAAGTCTGACTCTTACAGAGGCTCCCAGAATGGCGGTCCTTTCCTTCAGAGCCCAGGTCTCCACACAGAACTACAGGTCCAAGAGCAGGACGCTCTGATAAGATCTGCCTGCCCCGTGAGGCCTAAGCTCGGTGGAAGAAGAGACTTAAGGGGCCCGTCCACGCTACTAGGCCCCCAGCTGCCAGCACAGGGCTCAGGACAGAGCAGATGCCTGGTAAACCTTGGCTGAGGGAACAGGGAAAGGGGCCCCGAACTGTAGGCGCTCCATCCAAACACTCCCAGGAAGCTCCGATATAGACACCACCACCTGTGCCGACAAAAAGGCACATCGGTGGCTGTTGCTTCTGGGAGCCGGATGGGGGCGCGGCTTGGCACGGGACACAGGGAAGCGATACGGAGCGATGCTTACATGGAAAGGTTTTTTTATGTTCACGTGGGTGTGTATAACCTTATCCGAACTCACCAAGCCAGATACGCTAAGATCGGAACCTTTCGTACGAACTACGTCTAGTTGGGGCGCCTGGGTGGCGCAGTCGGTTAAGCGTCCGACTTCAGCCAGGTCACGATCTCGCGGTCTGGGAGTTCGAGCCCCGCGTGGGGCTCTGGGCTGACCGCTCGGAGCCTGGAGCCTGCTTTGGATTCTGTGTCTCCCTCTCTCTCTGCCCCTCCCCTGCTCATACTCTGTCTGTCTCTCAAAAATAAATAAATGTTAAAAGAAAAAAAAAAAAAAGAAAAGAAAGTACATCTAGTAAAACGGGTTAGAAAATCCAGGGCTTGGCAGCTAACAAGGGCTCCGCCCGTGCCTGTGAACCTGTTAGGTCAGTCCTCGCTGCTCTGGGAAAGTGCCAACGTCCTGGTTAACTAGGGGCAGGCAGGAAGGGCTGTTTGACCAAGGGCTCCCAAAGCAGGCCCAAGAAGCCCCGGAAGCAGAGAAGCCCTTGCTCCGGGGCCCGCAAGGCCCAGCCATATTCTGACGGCGGGGCTGATGTGCGGGCCGGCTCCCTCTGCCCTCGTCCTGGCCACCTCTCCCTGTCAGAGTGAGATTCCGGTTTTCCCGGCCTCTGTTGCGCCACGGGGCCCCGTGCGGGACAGCAACCCCAAGCCAGAGTCGGCCGGGGGTGGTGGGACGTATCCCGAAAGCGTGAACTTCCTCTGGAAAGGGGAACAGTGGGAAGCCAGAACCCCCTGCCCGTCTTTCTGTCCGGAAGCACGGCAGGTATGTAGGGGCGGTCAGGGCACGAGCGTTGGGGTGAAGAGCCAACCAGCGAAGGGCAGCAGAGGACAGAGACAGAAATGGGCCGGCTTCTGGAGGGCTTTGGTGCACAGCTGAGCCTGGGTAGGGCCGCCCACCCCGATCTCCCCGAGAAAAGAAAAAAAATCACACCTGCTTAAGCCTCTGGGAGTCAGGCGTTCCGTCATTTGCAGCCAAACACACCCCCATGTCCTTGTAATTAACCCCCGCCGCTCCCCGCCGCTCCCCTGCCCCCCGTAAGTGCAGCCCCTGCCAGAGGGGAAGCGGGTGGCAGGCGCCCACCTTGGGGATGCGGCCGATGATGTCCGGGTACTTTCCGGTATTGTCTTCCTGATTCCTGCTGAAGATCTTTACCTCCCCGCCTTCCAGGACATGGATCTGTGGCAGCAGGGGACGGGAGAGGGAATCAGAGCCCGGCCCCTCCCCGCCTCCCCGCGGCCCCTCTTTTCTCTTCTGACCCCACCTTCACCGGCAGAAGGTTCCAGAAGCTCTGGAGGAGGAACTGGTACAGAGACGGGAGTAAATCATCTCCTCCATCCAAACAGTGACTCCCACCCGTTTGTGGAAGCCCCCCCGCCCCGTGCCCCCTGGACCCCACCGTCACCTTCCTCATCCTCCCTATCCAACCCCCACCCAGATGCCGAAGTGTCTTGCTATGTCTACGAGGATTTGCCTGGTCTCAAGCCGTAAACATCATTCGGATTCTACGGTTAATTCATTTTAAAACAGCCTGGTCACGGTCCATATGTGCCGCCTTAAACGTACGTGATCTCGACAGCTGTGTGGGCGTGGGCTGTAACGTACAGGACTTAAAAATACGCACGTATCTTAAAAATCACGGTCACTACCGTAAAATCCTTTGGTCTCTTTTTCTCAGCAGCCTACAGTAAAACCTTGGATTGCGAGTAACTTGTTCTGCCAATGTTCTGCAAGACGAGCAAACACTTCTCGTCAGTTTTAACTTGGTACAACGAGCGATGTTTGCAGCACGAGCACTCCGTGACGCCGAATGTCCCATGAGCACAACTGAGCCAATGGTTCTTCTTTGTCTCTCTCCCTTTCTCTGTGGGATTGTGATCGTCTCCCATGCTCGGGTGCTTGGTCTCAAGCCACGGTGTTCAGCAGAAATCAGTGGTTTTTCAGAATATTGGAAGGTGCCCACAGCTGCCATTGGTGTATTTTTTGTCATTTCGAAGCACCTATGGACAGTCCTTTGCTTTTCCGTACAAGGGTAAGCTTAGAGGGGCGCCTCGGTGGCTCAGTCGGTGAAGCATCTGACTTTGGCTCAGGTCAGGATCTCACAGATCGTGAGTTTAAGCCCCAAGTCGGGTTCTGTGCTGATGGCTCAGAGCCTGGAGCCTGCTTCTGATGCTGTGTCTCCCTCTCTCTCTCTTTCTCTCTCTGCCCCCTTCCCCACTCATGCTCTCTCTCTCCTTCAAAAATAAACATTAAAACAAAACAAAAGAATAAGCTTAGGAATGCTTTGCTTCATTCTAGGTCGGGCTGCCTGCGAATATAGACCCTTTCCTCTGCTGCCTTATGGTCAGTTACGTGAAATACAATATACGACCAGAGTTTATCACTACTGTACCGTAGTGAAGAACCTCCGTGCGGGCGTATACGACGGCCCCCACGCAGAAAAAGGCTGAAAAGAAAGGCAGGAAGAAGGACGTGATTACGCTGGAAGTTAAGAAGGAAATCATGGCGAAGTACGAACGAGGCAGGCGAGTGACCGAAATTCCAAGATTTCATAAGAAGTCTACATCTCGTCTCCAGAGGAGGAGGAGGAAAGGGTGGAGGAATCCTTCACTTCCGATGAGATCCATGGAGCCCACAGACAGCAGTGATTAGTGACAGTGAAAGTGACAGTGATAGTGAAAGGCGTCCTACACAAGAACCTTCCCCTCTCTCGTCTCCCTCACACCAGCCACAGAGGTTTTCAAAGGTAAGTGCAGGTTAATTTGTTTTTCTTTATATTCCGTATTTTCCTTGCTATTTTGCGTTACGTTGCAGTATCGTAATCATTTTTTTATTTATTTTTGAAGGAGAGAGAGACAGAGCATGAGCAGGGGAGGGGCAGAGAGAGAGGGAGACACAGAATCTGAAGCAGGCTCCAGGCTCTGAGCTGTCAGCACAGAGCCCAGAGTGGGGCTCAAACCTACAAACCGTGAGATCATGACCTGAGCCAAAGTCGGACGCTCAACCGACAGAGCCACCCAGGCGCCCCCATAATCATTTTTTATATGAATGTTTTTGGGTCACGGAACAAATCACCTGAGTTTCCGTTATTTCTTATGGGGAAATTCGCTTTGATATACAAGCGACTAGGCCTACAAGCAAGTTTCCGGAACGAATTATGCTCGAAAACCAAGGTTTTACTGTATTTTGAAGATCGATGATGCTGACTCTCCAAGTTCACTGCTTGTTAAGCACTACACGGTGTCAGCCCGACACCTGCTCATCCATCCAGGCGACAAACGCTGGCTGGCCCCAGCTGGCCCCGCCAGGACAGAAGAGACCCAAGAAGCGACCTTACAGACCCAACCAAGGACCCACGGGCGTGCCTGGCGCTGGGTCACACGACACATGCTTATATCACCGCACCGAAGGCTGTACAGACACCTCCCGTGATGGCTGTTACACTGACCCCCCCCCGCCAGCCGGGCGCGTGCAAAGCTGGCATTTCTCGAATGCCCACTGCAGGGGGGTCGGGAATTTTGATGGTTTAATCAAATAAAATCGGCTTTCAGATACACGGGGGAGGTGGGTGTTAACACACCTTCTGCGTGAAGGTGGAAGTCTCTGGCACGAGCCGCTACGAGCTCGGGTCAAACCCCAGGCCCCGGCTCTCTGGCACTTTCCCTTCTGCCGAGCGAACGCGTCCACCCCCCTACCTGTGCCCTCTGCCCGTCGTATTTGTACTCGCAGGTGAAAGCCGCCTCCTCAAAGCGTTTCAGGACCTCGCCGACACCGCGGGTGGGGTGTGCCAGCATCGGTTTCAGGGGGACCCCTGGGAGGGGAGGAGCGAGAGTTAGGGTGCCCTGGGGGAGGGCCAACCCCGGGTCGGGGAGGGGTCTGTGGCACAGACAGCCCGTTGTGCCCCAGGGCCCACTCTCCTTTCCCACCGCGCAGAGAACACGCCCTCCCGGGGCGGGGGGGGGGGTGGCCTCCCAGCTCTGGGACATTCCCAGACTCCCTTGCAGCTGGGTAAGGCCACGTGATCAGGGTGCGTGTGGGAACGGTGTGCGCGCCGTCTGGGTCATGTCCTCACCCCTCTTCTCTCTCTCCCTCCCTCTTCTCGTTATCTAGAAATCCGAGCCATCCCTGGTCACGCACATTAGGGTGAAAACCTCTGGGAAACGAAGTGACAAGACAGAAACCTAGGTCCCCGGGGGCCCCTGGGGGTCCGTGGAGCCCAGCCACGCATCCTCCCTGACCCCTGCCCTCCTCTGGACTCTTACGGGGTGGGAAGAAGAGGCTGTGTGGCCAGACCCACTGCCTTTTGGGGGATCTCTTGTTACGGCAGATTCCCCCACGCTCCTCCTGATACAGACGGGGCCTCCAAACAAACAGATGGGCTTCAGCATGGGGAACGGGATTCAATTTTGGCGGTGACAGGAACCTACAGGTTCCCAGGGGGACGAAGAAAGCTAAGGCTGGGAGGAGGGAGTGGGGCCCGCAGGAGGGCCGGCCCCGAGCTCCGTGGCCCCACGGCCGGCTCTGCCCAGGGAGGGGCTGCGGCCTCTCCTGAGGGCCCTGTACCTGGGCTCAGCCTGCAGTGCTCCGGGAGGCGCTCCAGGCCGTGCTCCAGCAGCACGGGGATGATCCGGTCCAGGTCGGGCACCTCGCTGAGGCGGGGGCAAGAATGAGCAGGTGTCCTTCCAGAACTCCCGCAGCCTGGAAACCCTGTTCTCTGGCTCTGAGATGCGCCACCGTGAGCCTGTCACCCTGTTTGTTCCCTCCCATCCCCGACTCCCTTGGTCCCAACTCTCACGATCCTCCCTCAGTGTCACTACACATCCCTCTGTTCCCCTCGGCTTGGGCCTGCCGTCAGCCCTGTCGTCGTGAGACCGGCGGCTCTCCACCTGAGCCACACGTAAACGGCACTCGGGGATGGAGTAAGAAGTTCAAGGCCAGGCTCCGCCTCCGGAGATTCTGATGTGGGAGTGGGGGGCAGGGTAGAGACGGCTGTCCTGGCCCGCGGTTCTGCAGGGTTCATGGCCGTGTGCCCGAGCGGGTGCCCCCAGGGTTTCCGTGCAGACGCTCACGGGCCGTCCTGCCACTGTCACCGGGCAGTCACGGTCCTGCTGTGGCCAGGTCCTCCAGGCGGCCCTCCCCGGAGCCCTTGCTGTCACTCCATGCATGTGCTAACGCCCCACTGCACGTCAGTCACAGGATCCCTCACCGTTTGCCACCTTCCTAATCTCTGTCCCCAGCCTTGTGTCCGGCCCCAGTCCCGTCTGGATCACCCGCCCCGCGACGGCCACTAGCGCTTAGTAGCCACCGGCCCCTCCCACGTCGCCAGCAGCCCTCGGTGCCGAGCCTCCCGCCCCTCCAGCTCCCCATCCCCCCGCCCTCGGCCCTTGGCCCCAGATCTCACCAGAACGTCTGCTTCAGGATCATGCCCTGTTCCTCCAGCCACGTCTTCCGGGCCTCCGCTGTCCGGCCCTTCCCAGCGTCCACGACAGCCGGGGGGAAATCTAAGACCAGAGCCACCAGCGGAGGCTTTGGGATGGGCCCAACCCCTCGGCTCCCCCAGGGCGGCCGGTGCTGGAGACAAGGCTGCTAGGGAAGGAAGGGGCCTGGAAAGGAGCTGGGGCGTGGACTTCGGGAAGGGAGGGCAGCCCGGGCTAACCCGAGCGCCAGGCGGAGACAGCCGCGGGGCCTCACCTTGGCCAGGGGGCGTGAGGCTCACGGCCTGGGCGAGGGCGGCCAGCACCGACTGCTCTGCCAGCCCGAGGCGTAGCCGTCCGCTCAGGGCTCTGAGGGGGAGAGCAGGCGAGAGGGCTTGTCAGCACCGCCTTGCCCTCTATCCCTTGCGCCTGCCTCCTCCGGTCTCCCAGAACCCTCTGGAACCCTCTGGAACCCTCTCCTCAAAGCCAGAACAATCTTCAGGGCTGGAAGGGACCTGAGGGGTCACACAGCCCCAGTGAACAGACAAGGAAACTGAGGCCAGCCCGTAGCAGCCATGGCCGCTGGTGTTCTCTGGGGCAGAACAAAGTGCCCCCCGGGGGCCTGTGCGGCTCACCTCAGATGCCCTCTGGGGAAGCAGTGAAGCTCGGGGAGGGCGAGCCGGGGCAGAGCGGGACACAGACTGTGATGGGCAAGGTGTCCCCCACACAGGCCTCTCTCTGAGCCGGCGGTCTCGGGCGCGAGGCTTATCCTCCTCGGGCCTCCCCTCCCGCAGACCAGGCTGAGGGTAACAAGGCCTGCCCGGTAGGGCCATGGGGAGGAAGTGATGCACTGACACATGCCACACCGGGGACCCGAGAAACACCGCACGATGGGGGACGACTACGGTTTTGTTTTCACTGTCGTGGCGACCGCTTGGCTCCCGGCCCGTCCTGCACCCGCCGAGGCCACGGCAGACACGGCTAATCAATCACTGCACCTTTTACCCACGAGCCCCGAGAGGACACGAGGAAAAGAGCCTAGTGGGGACGCCCGTGGCCAGTCCCCCGCTCCTGCCACCTCCCCCCGCCTCCCGGGCCCATGCCCACCTGGCGATGAATCGGGCTTCTGAGTGACGGCAGGCGACAAAGAGGCCTTTGATGACGTCCATCTTCTTGGCTGTGGACTGAGGTGGGGCAGGCCAGTGGGTGTCTGGGGCGCGGGGTGAGGACCCCGCCTCCTCCTGGCCAGCGAGCCGCCCCCACCTCTCCCCACTCCCAGCGCCCGGTCGCGCTCTGACACAGCGAAGAAGGCCGCGTCCGGCTCCCCTCCGGCCCCACCTTGATTCGGCCAGTGTCTACTGTCCCGTCACATGGTAGGAACAGAGCAGGTGT